CACACACACACACACACACACACACACACACACACACACGTTAGGAAAAGTGTAGTTTGCTTTTATATGTTTTCTAAAACCTTTACAAGCATGTATTGCTGGGTTCGATCTACGCAAACATTTAAACGACACATTCCTTACTTTATTAGCTATTGTATATTTATAAGAAAACGTCCAAACTTTATCTCATTCATTCTTTTTGGAAAAGAGACCTATATTGCACTGTCTGCAGATCTCCTACACATCAAATTGCAAGCAATAATTCAATTCTGGAGTCAATACGCAGAACGAATCCATGACGACATCAAACCTGTGGCACTTGAGGAACACTCACCTGTGCGCAGATGTTAAGATTATTAATGACATGGCTAAAAAAACTCAGAGTTCAGCTGATGTTCTGGATCACTGTACACACAGGTTTCACCCTGTCGCCACTGCTCATTGGCCCTGCTTCATGATGTCAAGGTGGCGCGACACCATCGAGGAAATCTCGCGATGTGTCACAACAGTCCCGACACTGCCCACTACAGTTTTATCCGCATTTTGCTATTGAACAACAATAGCACAGATTTTGCTCTTTTTTTCTTAGAAAAACAAAATATAAGGGTCGTTAATTATCTTATGCATAAAGCTATTTTTAACTTTAAAAAAATTGGATTAGGTGACTACGAAAAGCAGTAAACGCCGGTATTAACCGGTTCTGTAAAGAGGTGCCTGAGTTGCTGGGCAACTGTACCGACGCCGGAAGTGCGTGGCTACGAAGACATGGCGAACAGGAGGGGAACAGCTGTGTCTGCTCCCTTTCATGATATTTTACGATATTATTCAGTATTAATCATTGCTGTTTTATCCTATAAACTCACTTCGGCTTCAGAGGACGATGCATTTCGTGCCGGGCAGTCGATATTGTCTCCGGTGGCTGCAGCATCACGGGATGTTCGGTAGGAATCGTGCTGGAAAAGATGCTTCCTATATTTACATGGCTAAGTTCCACAGCTGTTACATATGGAGCTCCATAGTTACATCCTTTTTGTGTTGGTTTATTCCTGTAATGTAGTGCCACATGAAGTCCGTAATTAATAAAAAATAAATGAGTATGGTTACGACGAGGCTTTGGCTTCGTAAGTATGGAGTATGGTTAAGAGACTTTCAGAAATATAAAAAGCTTGACTTCCCCTTTTTGTCTCATGGACCTCCAGCAACTCCTTCATTAACACCCAACTAGAAATGTTTCTTTATGGAATATTATACTGGGTATTATTCAGCATTATAATTTAATATATATTTTTTAATTGCCATGATTACAATAATTCACTTTTAAACTAATATCAATACTGTAAGGTGTGAAAAGACTGTCTCTCAAACTAAAGCAATATTTATATATGCTTGATATAATGCTGGAATAACACACACACACACACACACATTTAGTTTTACACATAATTTTACTATAAAAACGTTTTGTTTGTAACATTTTGGTTAGAGAAAGGACAAAAAATGAAAGACAAAAAAATCACCAGGAATATTTCACACTAAATATAAAGTTGTGATAGCAGTCTGAGAAATCTGTTGTTTTATAAATGCATTTAGTTCGGTATTGAAAAAATGAATGAATATAAATAAATTAAAATAAATAATAAATTTGGTATTGAAAAGGTATAGGAAAAAAAGAATGATCATTTTACAACAAAACATGTTTTGTTTGAACTTTTAAGTTTTTAACTTTTTAGTTGGAGGAAGTACCAAAAATCATAATAAATTTATTAGAAAAATTTAATTGGTCAAAAATGCTCCAACTAAATTATTAAATGTTTAATTTGTTCATCAAGTTCTTTGTGATATCAGTCTGAGAAATCTGTTATTTTATGATTGCAGTTTAGAGAGAAGTAGGGAAAAATAACTAATCTTACAATATGAAGCAGTTTGATTAAAGAAAAGATCAAAACGAAGAATCACCTAGAATATTTCATAATAAATGTAATGAAAAATTTGTTTTTTCTTTTTTAGGCAATAATGCTCAAAAGTCTGAATTGGAAGTATTGAAAGTTTGATTGATTAAACTTTAATATTAAATTGTTTGCGCACACACACACACACACACAATTTTAAAATGTATTGCACAGCACAGGAGGGATGATCATGTTATTATTCTCAGATACCTCCTATATGATGTAAATCCACCCGAGGGCTTCAATCTTCGCCGAGATGTGTACATTCGCATGGCCTCTTTACTGAAGACACTGAGGAAAGAGGGTGACTGGGTGCTAGTGCTGCCTCCATGGGGTCGCCTGTATCACTGGCAGAGCCCTGATATACATCAGGTTCGCATCCCGTGGGGGGAATTCTTCAGCATAACCAGCCTGCAGGCTAACATACCAGTCATTGAGTATGAGGAGTTTATTGCTGGTGAGCCATGCTGTTTTTGTGTGTTTGTTTGTTTGAGAGATTACAATCATATGTGATTATTTAGCTTTATTTAACTGTCATTAATTTATTCAGACAGGAGGTATGTTGGAGAAATGACATACATTACGTACAGTTCCATATGGTGACGCTAGTGGCACAGAAAATACTTCACCTATCCGGACAGTCTTGCATGACTGTCTAGTTAGTCATATACAATCATTTTCACTCGGAAATTGCTAGTAAATACCACAGTTAAATACAAAGTAACACACTGACTTAAATTTTATAGTAGAAAGACTGAAATAGTATTTTCTTCTCAAACATGCTCCAGTAAACGTTTTTACAGTGTAGTATTTAAATATGAGTAGGAACACTGAATTAAAAACAGTAAAAGCTGAGACTCAATTATGATTCCCATATTCTGTGTCTTTATTGCTGATCTCAGAGTCTGGGGGTCCCTTCATTGACCAGATCCTTGTACTGCAGAGCTACGCAGAGGGCTGGACAGATGGGAAATGGGAGGAGAAGGTGGATGAACGACCGTGCATCGAAAAGCTAATGTACTCAAAAGACAAACAGGGATATTACAGGTAATGCTTTAAAATCACAGGTTCAGCCAGTTCAGGTGCTGTTGACAGACAGACTAATAGACGGATGCAAGGAATGTTTATGCAACATTTAAAGCCATACATGAATAGTTGTTAAAGGAAATGTTCACACAAAAATAAATATTTCAAAACATACTGTATATATATATATATATATATATATATATATATTTCATTCCCACCCATGTCAATATATATACATACATACCTACATACATACATATATATATATATGTGTATATATATATATATACACACACACACACACACACACACATATATATGTTTATTCCCACTCCCACTCCCACTCACTATATATGGTCATTCCAAGCTAATACGCTGTTTTTTTTTTTCTTTGGAAAAAAAGTTTACATTTGCTCTTTTACATATTTGTCAAGGTACAGTACCATTCAAAGGTTTGGGATCGGAAATAATTTTTTAAAAATGTTTTTGAAAGAAGTCTCTTATGCTCATGAATTCAGCAGTGTCCCATGATCCTTCCGAAACAATTCTAATATGCTGGTTTAGTGCTCAAGAAACATTTCCTTACTATTATTAAATGTTGAAAACAGCTGTGCTGATTAGTATTTTTGTTTATTATTTAATTATTTTCAGTATTTTTTTTGATGAATAGAAAATCCAAAAGAACATACTGAAGTACTTTTTCATAATATAATACTTTTGTTGTAACATTATAAAAGTCTTTACTGTCACTTTTGATGAAATAAATGCATCCTTGTTGAAAATTTCTTAAATAAAAACAAATATTATATATTATAAATACCCCAACCCTTTGAATGGTAATGTGTGTCCATACAACTTATGCATGATATGTCTTCTGAAGCCAAACAATGGCTTTGTGAGCGAAACAAACTGAAATTTAAATGGATAGTTTGTGTGATCATTTACTCACCTTCATGTTCTTTCAGTGTATGTTTTTCTTTGTTCTGTTGAATGCAAAAGAATATATTTTGAACTTTTGCCCATGCAAAAAAAGTCCAAACAAAACAACATTCTTTCAAATATCATCTTTTGTGTTGCACAGAAAAAAGAAATGCTTAGGGAAAGAAATGCACTCCATTTCTGTAATGAAATCTTTTTTCTTTTTCTCCAGAGGTTGGTTTTGGGGTTATGAGGAGACCAGAGCATTGAATGTCACCTGTTTATCTGCTCAGGGACATGCCTCTATCTTGGCTCCTGTCTTACAAAATAACTTAACCGCCACGTAAGTCACTTTGGAAATAAGTTTGAATTCAAATAGCTTTTAAATGCAAATGTGTTCCTATACATGTGCTGTCACTGAACCACAGGTCAGTAATGCTGGACAGAGCTGAAACTGTCCTCCATGATCACTATGCTGGGAAGGACTACTGGGATGTAAGTCCATAAATTAATATTCTCAAGATTTTTAAATAATTTGCCTAAAAATATAGTAATAATTAGGTTTTTGTAAGATATCTCACCTATCTTATTTTATTGTTCTACAGACACGGCAAAGTATGGTGTTTGCCAAACACTTGCGTATCATAGGAGACGAGTTTAGGGCCAAGTATCTCAACTCCACAGACAAACAGGACCAGACGCCGTACAACGAAGACTGGACCCGAATGAAAGTATGTTTCACTTGCATTAATTCTCTCCTCCCATTGTTCAAATACAGAAAGTACTGGTGTCATTGCTGCCAGCATAATAGATACACAGTAGCCAAACTGGTGTTTATGCAACAAGATGAAGGATTTGAGCTTCGTCAGAGCTTTTGTTCACATGTTCACAAGACTTTCTGGATTTCTGGAATGTTTGCCATGTGCTTTACACCCACGCACATTTCAGTGTCACAAAGCAGTCATATTTGTTGCGTGACCTTTTGTAAACTCTTGGACCCAGAACAGGCTGGGCAGTGCTAAGGGAGCCCCTTACCTGGGAGTCCACTTGCGTAGGAAGGACTTCATCTGGGGGCACAGAGAAGATGTGCCCAGCCTCAAAGGAGCAGTGAAGAAGATCCGTAGTCTCATGAAGAAGCACAAGCTACAACAAGTCTTTGTTGCCACCGATGCAGACGGAGAAGGTACAGACACGATTAAAAAGACTGAAAAAAGTAAAACAACAATAATGTACAAATTATTTAAGCATTCATTAAGACCCTTTTTTTGGTTACAAAACATTCACAGAATAGAGGCCACACTACCCATCAATCAGTCATGTTTGACAGAATAGTTCATTTGAAAACATGTGAAACATTTTAGTTATTGTTTACTAAACCTCATTTTTTTCTGTTCAGCACAAAATAGGAGACATTTAAAAAAATATATTCATGCATGTCTAACAAACACAGTAAAAGCATAATTCATATGATTTGCATACTATATTAAGCAGAAGACTTGTATAAGTCTTCTGAAGCCATCCAACAGCTTTGTATAAGGAAATGGCAATTTTGTTATTCTGCAACTATACAGATCTTCTTTATGCACCAAGAACTTGCAACACTCCAAAGAGAAAGGAAAACTTGAAATCGCATCATATGACCCCTTTAACTTTTAGGGAGAAAACCGGTAGTTCTATGTGAAATCAGATATTTGATCACCCCCATATAGCCAAAATGGCATGCTCATAACACCCCGCGAATATTCGACTGTGAGATTGGTAGTTGAATCAGGCCAGAGATTGTCTAACTATAAGGAGATAAGAGGGTCTGTAAAACGGCTAACTTGTGTCACGTGTCCCTTAATAACCAATCACATTACAGACTTGATGTCATCGAATTTCAGTCAGAGTTGTGCGACACTCAGTCGCCGTTTATGGATACCATAGGAATGAATGAGAAGTGCCGTAAGCTGAATCCCACCTGTCGCAAAAAGTCAGTGACTTTTTCGTGTGCAGCATTTTTTCGTGGTAAACTAAAAATAGTTCAATCCAAAAGTATTGTTTAGTGTAAAACATTTTGAAGATTAGCAGATAGGCTGTCGATTCATTAAATGATAAGCGGTCTCCTCTAAAAAGCTGTTTATTCAGCGTAGTGAAGCCTCTGCTCCATTGACATCTATCCAAAAAAAAAAAAAAAAAGCCTCTAGTCCCAGTAGTCTCCTTTCCCACGTACTGCCAGACCGGAAGCGTTAGCTTTAGCCATTACACTTTTTTGGCTAATGGTTGCAGGCTTGCCTTCTAGTGGCTTTGATCAGGCTCCTCCTATCGAAGCATCGAATCTTCGACTATTTGGGGTCACCCCTAGTGTATGTATTTGTATGTGAGATCAGGCATTTTCTGCTTTTAGAGCTAGCTAAACTGAAAAGGATGCTACCTGAGATGGTACAATACGAGCCCACCTGGGAGGACCTGGAGCTCCTGAAGGATGGAGGGGTGGCCATCATAGACCAGTGGATTTGTGCTCATGCTAGGTATTGAATCACACCCTTCGCTCTCCTTTTTTCGTCAACAACAAAGCGGTTACTGAATGACACTGCGTTTTTTTATGCTTTAGGTGGACAAAAACTGCTTTATCAACTGTGTTGAAAGATGAATCACCTTCTTGATTTTAGTCAGAGTTAGCTGCTGTTCAAGCCAGTGGAGATTTTTCTTTTAGTGTTTAGTTCTTTTTTCTTGATCTCTTTCATTGACTTTTAATTTTTCTTTGTCAGTGCTGTCTCTAGAAGATTACGTTGATGGAGTGTCAGTGTTAGAGGAAATTATACTATTTTGTTTTGATTTAAACCATGTATTGACTCAATTGAGTATAATATAATCACAAAATGTTTTTCACTTGCGAAAATAATGTTTAAAATAATTACTTAATTTTAAAAGAGTAAGGATTATTACTAATTTGATTATTTTCTGTTTTGTTGAATTGGGCGTTACTCAGTAGATTCTTTCCATTAAAAAAAGAAATGTATGACCCCATGACATAATGGCTTAATCATTTCAGTCAACTCAGGCACTTGCTTTACTGGAAAGAATGCTCATTGTTTGATATGACAACCTTTGATCCTACCTATCACATGCTGTTGTGTGACATTTTTTTCCTTTAAATTCATCTTGCAATCTTTTTGTTTGCGACGGCTTATCCCTTTTGTAAAACAACCGTACATCACTCACTCACATTTGTGTTGTTTTTGTCAGGTATTTCATTGGGACATCAGTTTCAACGTTCTCTTTCAGAATACACGAGGAAAGGGAGATCCTAGGTTTCGAACCTAAAACCACCTATAACCGGTTCTGTGGCGACGACGAGAAAGAATGTGAACAACCAACACACTGGAAAATTGTCTACTGATCACACAGAAAACTTGATGCTGGTTATACAGACTGTAACTGATTTCTCAGATTTAAGAGAATTCTCTATATTTTTAATGTTTTTGATGACTATGTTGAAAATACAAACTTAGAAAAGAAGCATTTTTTTAATTTTTGAACTAGCACCAACTACACCACGTTATGTACGAGAAGCTGCAAAAGACACAGGCACAAGTGGAATGTAGAAAACATGGTGACATTCATTTTTAAGTAAATATAATGGGCGATATATTGCGGCACTAAAAATGATTGAGGTCATGTACATATATTGTGCGATTAGTCGATATATTAATTATTGCGACAGGCCTAATTGTTGATACTCAAGATGAACTGTGTATAACACTGATCAAACCTTTTATGAAAATGGTCAACATGATTTTTCACCCGTTCCTGTCTTTGAAGTGCTACTTGCCAATTATTTCTCTCAGTCTCAGCACAATTTATGCCTTTGACAAATAACATGTATGAACATGCAGCGGTAGTGTTTTGTGCAGTATTTTGGGCAGCAGTATTGTGCCTGTCTGCTATTTGGACAAACAAAAATAGTGCTTTCACAGACTTTGCCATACAGTATTTTTACACTCAGTAGTGTTTTTTCCTTCCATAAGATGAGGTGAAAGATTCCGGGAGGCGTAAGCATATTTCTAAAATTGCAGTCGGTAAAGATAAGCCTCTGGAATGGAAGCATAACTCGATGACAAGCAGTTGGAGTGTTTTGCATATTTCTTTTGTTGTTCAAGAAATGTAAATTTATGTTCACTATTACCATTCAAAGATGTACTGTTCATCTGTGCAGTTTTTCTATAAATGTTTTCTTGAAGTTTTTTTTTTCTAAATGAAATTTTAATGATCACTTGGTGTGAATGTTGTCAAGTGTTTTTCATCTTATTTTTCTGAAAAGAGCTTCCTTATAAGGATTTAAACTGAAAAGGTGCCTTGGAGTCGTAGTATGTGTCCATTATTCTATTATATACCTGCTAGATACATTATAGCAGAGTAAATTTGCTGTAGGTTTTGTTCATTTTTACATGACTGTTTTTTTTTTTTGCCATCTCTCCTGGGCCATGAATCTGGTTTCGTATGATGCCAATCTGTCCAGCTCAAAGCTGTACTGATCATTTTACTTCAACTTCTGGGTGGAGACAATGCTTTGTGACTTATTCTCACAGAAAAGAGGGCAGCATGAGATGCTTTTCAGTCTTTTGTTCTGTTGACGCTTCTGGTAAACTTTCCAAGCTAGGTTTCACAGTTTAAGTCCCTTATTTTAACAATAGCATGTTATGGGGATCCTAATCTTGGCTGTTCATTATTACAATCAGCTTTAGAACTGATTAACATATGTTAGGTGATAAATTTTAGAGTAATGTATGTACTTTTATTGTCTTTTTCCTTTTAGAATGCAACCTAAAGACAAAGGGAAGATTTATGAACTTCGCAACCTATACAACCACAATGACTTAACAAAAACACTGAATGTGATCTCCAGGTCATAGAAAACAGATCAAAACAGACTGAACAAAAGAATTTGAACTGGTTGATTTGTACAGTGTAGAATAGAGAACATTGTTTTCAACCAGTCTTTTTACCACAGTTTAAAGTAATCATGAAAAGGCTGAGAAAAAAAGTGAATAACCTGTTCAATTGGTAACATACAAAATGGCTTTTTGGCCAAAAAAATATTGCAATCATTTTTGTTGACCCCACCTTTATCATGAGAACACAGTTTAACCTCTCTGTAAAAATCTGGTTTACTCAGATATAGCATAAATATGATACTGGAATTAACCTGTTCAACTGGGTAACATACAAAACTGCTTTTTGGCCAAAAAATATTGCAATAATTTTTGTTGCCTCTTCTTTATCATGAGAACACAGTTTAACCTCTCTGTAAAAATCTTGTTTACTCAGATATAGCATAAATATGATACTGGAATTTTAGATTTCACTCTTGAAACCTTCCCAGCCTGGCATAAATATTTATTTCCTCAATAACAATATCTAAGTGAATAGCGCATGAGTAGCCTAATAAGACAGATCTGTGTATTTGAGACCAACACTTGTCATATTTTTAGTCTGTGTTAAACTAGGCACTAGTTAGGCATGGAGCTGAAATCTACCCTTTAGAGGAAGTACTAGAAGCTACTAGAAGCATGGGACTTTACTGTATTTTGTATTGATGCCATTCTTTTTGGAAAATGTCTTGACCCGCAGTAGGCTGCACATACAGGTGTTGAACTTTAAACAAAAAGCTCCTTAACTGCTAGCAAACAATAGATATTATTTGCGGCTCTCCTTTCAATTTACTTTAAGTCATTTTTCACATCATCCAGTTATGTTTTTGTTCTCCGCTCCTGTAATTATTCAAGTGACAGAAGTGGGATACAGGTGTTGAACTTTAAACAAAAAGCTCCTTAACTGCTAGCAAACAATAGATATTATTTGCGGCTCTCTTTTCAATTTACTTTGTCATTTTTCACATAATCCAGTTATGTTTTTGTTCTCCGCTCCTGTAATTATTGAAGTGACAGAAGTGGGAGCACAATCTGATAGGTAGCATTTTTCGCTATCGATTTATGCTACCTATCTTTTTAATGGGAGGTAGCACAATCTGAGCGGGTAGCACAAATCGTCAGAACACCAGTCATGCAACCTGTGTGGTAAACTCCCGCCTCTCACCTGTATGAGCCAACAGAACAGAAAACAGTGCAGACTTGATATCACTGACACCGGTGCGAACACCTGACGAGAGAGAAAATTATTATTTTTCTCCTTATTAGGCTAACTACATACTTAATTTTAGTTGTTTTTGTTGTTAATTTTTCGTCAGTTGGAGGAATACAGTATCACATGGAAAGTGCTCTTTGCTAGGAATAACCTGGCAAAATGGCATCGGACCCAATAACGATACACTAAATCCAATCCAGACTAAACAAGGTAAATATATAACTTGATCAATTTATATTGTTTTTGTAGTATAATACGTTTGGATTTCTGACGTTTGCATGTTTATTAGCTACTTTTGTGCGATAAAGTGAATATTTGAGATTCAGTTACGTCAATTGTGAAAGGCAGTTCAGGGAGGAAAAGCTTACATTCAATGATTTTGAACAGTTTTAGACAAAGAAGCGCACTAAATACAAGTAGGAAGCAACTTTAAAGCCTTTTTTAAAATTATTTTTTTGTATTATTATGTATTATTGTTATTGTGTGTATAAGTTTGGCTTATTTTATTAAATAATTGTATTATTTTATTAAATCTGTTATTATTATTATACAAAGTGGCATTTACTTGATATAAATAACAAATTACATTCTAACAATATATATATATATATATATATGTACAATAAAACATATCAGATAATATTCATGTTCAATCCATGGTAAGCATAGTTAGTAGGGTTGTGCCGATAGACGATAGTATCGTGTATCGACGATAGTCAGAGATATCGACGATAGCAGATGTCTTTGTCGATAGACGATATTAGGCTCATTCTCCTATTAATGTATTAAATAATAATAATAATAATTATTATTATTATTTGATAATTATTATTATTATTATGCGGCCCATTATAATTCGGCTATTATTATCAAATTGCCCCGCTTTTTCATTCAGCACTGTATATCACACACACACACACACACGCGCGCGCGCGCGCAAATGAGGAGCCTGAAGCTGGTGAAGGAGTCTCCAACCACAGACACATATCATCTGCTGATATAAGGTATTTCGTTGCACTTTAACAA